ACCTCAAACAAATCTCTCCTACCCTCAAACATTTTCAGTCCCGTGGCAACTCTCTTTTGAGTTTATGGCTCTTTTCCTTCCCTCTCAAAGACTTTCATAACAATAAAAACTCCTACCCTTCCACCTTTCTTTCCTGCCCTACGTTTCTTCCCTACCCTCAAAGACTTTCACTCCCACTCTCCCACTATCCACAACTCCTATCCATAAAAAGCTGTCATCAAAAAAAAAACAAAAAACAAAACCTATCCATAAAAAGCTGTTACTCTCCTACCTCAAACAAATCTCTCCTACCCTCAAACACTTTCAGTCCCGTGGCAACTCTCTTTTGAGTTTATGGCTCTTTTCCTTCTCTCTCAAGGACTTTCATAACAATAAAAACTCCTACCCTTCCACATTTCTTTCATGCCCTATGTTTCTTCCCTACCCTCAAAGACTTTGACTCCCACTCTTCCATTATCCACAACTCCTATCCATAAAAAGCTGTCAACAAAAAAAAAAAAAAAACAAAACCTATCCATAAAAAGCTGTTACTCTCCTACCTCAAACAAATCTCTCTTACCCTCAAACACTTTCAGTCCCACTCTCCCACTATCCTACACCAGATAGATATAAAAAATAAAAATAAAAATCCACCCATCTATCCATATCTCCTTAAACCATTACTTCTAACAATCCACTACTACAAATACATGTACTTCATCAACTTCCTTCATCAACAGTGAACGCCAGCAGTCAACAGTCCGCCATCGAATGCAAGTCTCGATTTTTCTTTTTCTTTTCCTCTGTTACTCTCCTACCTCAAACAAATCTCTCCTACCCTCAAACACTTTCAGTCCCGTGGCAACTCTCTTTTGAGTTTATGGCTCTTTTCCTTCCCTCTCAAAGACTTTCATAACAATAAAAACTCCTACTCTTCCAACTTTTTCCTCTACTCTACGTTTCCCCTACCCTCAAAGACTTTCACTCCCACTCTCCCACTATCCATAACTCCTATCCATAAAAAGCTGCCAACAAAAAAAAAAAAAAAAAACAAAACCTATCCATAAAAAGCTGTTACTTTCCTACCTCAAACAAATCTCTTACCCTCAAACACTTTCAGTCCCACTCTCCCACTATCCTACACCAGATAGATATAAAAAATAAAAATAAAAACCCACCCATCTATCCATATCTCCTTAAACCATTACTTCTAACAATCCACTACTACAAATACATGTATTTCATCAACAACGCCACTAGTCAGCAGTTCACCATCGAATGCAACTCTCGGTTTTTCTTTTTCTTTTGCTTTAATAATTTATTTTTTGTTCCAAGCATTTGAGATTTTGTATTTTGACTACAAAGATTGTAGAAAATTGTAATGTCCATGTCTCTGTTTTTCTTTTTGTTTTGCTCTAATAATTTGTAGTATATTGTGTCCTTGAGGATATTCTGAGAGTGTTTGTTCCACCAATTTTGAATTCCAATATTCTCTCTGGTTCTATATCTCTCTCCCTCATCTCCATTGAAGAATCCTATAAACACAAATCTCTCTCCTCTGCCTCACTCCATACAGTTTAATTAAGTGCACATGGCTATTGTTTATGAGTGCAATAACCATGTCTTTGTTTCTCTTTTTCTTATGCTCTGAAAATTATAGTGCCCATGTCTCTGTTTTTCTTTTTCTTTTTCTCTAATAATTTTTTTTTTCAACTATTTGTAATTTTGTATTTTCATTATAAAGATTGTAGAAAAAGCAAGTGTAATTTACCCATAACTTTACGTGCAGGCATAGGCAGATCAGTCTAAGAAATCCAGCTGCACTTACGGTTAAAAAATTACAAGTTTAGAATAACATGTACATGGGCTACTGAAGTTGCAGATTTTGAAACCACAAATCTTTCAAGTTTTAAGAGAATTTCAGCTCAAACAACTTTCAAGCCCAATTCTGCAAATTCAGTATGTTTCTTCTCATTAATGGTGTACTTTTATTATTGAAATACCTTGAATACACTTGCACAAAGACACATTTTTGTATTTATTGAGAAAAGTATGGGTTTGATTTGCATTAGGAATTTAAATAGTATTCATATATATTCGATTTTTAGCAGATTGTAATTTAAATTGTGTTCATATAAATTCCTTTTGTTGCAGTATTGTTCTTTTTTTTTTAATTTTTTTTTTGACATGTCTTAGTTTGAGATATGGTAGGAAATGGTTTATAACGGTACCACTGTGGATGATACTATGAATGTTCCAATCAAAATATAATCTTTCATGTTTTATTTTGTTTTACAAAATCCAAAATTTATATGTACATACTTGGTTTAAAAATTGGAAATATTATGTTTTGAAATGAAAATTCTAGCATATTAGACATGATTTCAATTCTTTTGTTTTTCTTTATAGTTTTTAATTTAAGATTAAAATTTAATTATTTTCATTACTTCTTTAATTTCTTAGATTGCAAGAATCTATTAAATTTAATACTATATTTTGTTTATGATTTTAGTGGATAAATAATTCAATAAAAAATAAAGTTTAAGATGGTTAAAAGTATATTTTGATAGGTATTTGTAGTGTTCCACCAATAAGATAATGCAAGTTTACCATTATATTAACAATACATGTTAGTTTTATTTTTATTTTATGCTATGAAAATAAAATCAATAATTTTACACATAATACAACTAAATTTATTTTGGGTGGAGTAAGGGGAAATTAATTAATTTTATGTATATTATAAAATCATAATAGGTATTAAGTTATTTGTGCATTAAACTCATAATTTTTTTTTTATAATTTTACATAACTTTTAAATTTACAAATAATACTCTATTTGGTTTAGAGATTTCAAAAACAGTTTTTTGAGTTTTCAATTCGTATTTTTATATTTTTAGTGATTTTTAAAATATTTTTATTTTTATTTTTTAGATCCACTTAATCTTGATATACTTAAAAGGTATAAAATTTGTACAAAAATCTTTAAAAGATTTATTGAATACAACAAAATACAAAAATGTATTGAATTTTCTTATTTTTGATTTTTTTTTTTTTGCATTTGGTGAATTTAAAAAAAATTACATAAATATTATACTTTTTAAGTGTACCTGGATTAGGTATATCTAGAGAAATTTACAAAAACTACGTAAAATGTTAATTACTGAAAAATATAAACTTAGGCTGCGTTTGGTTGAATTTTGTAAATATAATTTGACAGTATGAGTTGTATTTTGAGTTTGTAAGTTTTAGAATTATGATTTGAGTGTGGAAAATTTGTTTGGTGAAGAGTTTTGAAAAAAGTTTTGATTTGAGTGGGGAATTTTTGATGTGACATGATATTTGATATAAAAACTTACAACTCATAATCAAACATACAACTCAAAATTATATTAAAACACATAAAAAAAAATTTAAAATTCGAAAAATAATTTTTTTGAATATATAAAAATTAACATACATAAATTGTAAAAAAAATAAATAAAAAAAATTGCATTGTTCTGGTCAACCAGCTGGTCAACCGGTGGGACGATCGGTTAGGCAAAATTTGAAAAAAAAATTCCGAAAATCGCGCCTGTCCCAGTGTTTTGTGCAGAGTTTTGGAAACGTGTTTTGAGAACTCTAACCAAACATCGTACTTGAATGACGGTGTAGAATCGTGATTGCAAAACACAACCAAACATAGCCTTAATTTTCTAAAATGTGAGTTAAATCAAAAGTTTTATATAAGAGAAACAAAATGATATATAAAAAAAAACGAGTATAATATATATAAACAAAAAATATTTATTCTGTGTATAGCACGTGATGAACGCTAGTATACATATATATATATATATATATATATGATGACTTGGTCAACAAAAAAAGAAGAAGATAGATTACACTTTTGCTTGCTTAAAATATTATTCAATATTTGTTTTGGCCGTTAAACTTTTAATATTTTAAAATTTAATTATTAATTTTTTATTAGTGTGATCCCGTTAGCAACTATTGTTCATTCTTTTAATAGAAAATCGGCACCTAATTTTAAAACATTTTCACTTTAACCCTTTAAATATTACATGTAATTTTTTTCACTTTAATTAACGCCTCATTACATTTTTTCATTTTATGATGCAAATAACCTTAGAGAATTTAGTAGAATTATTATTCAGTGTAATGACACTATCACGGAATGACCTACAACATCACAATTCGTTAGGCCTTGGGCCGGTAGCCGGTCTTGATAATCTTAAAAAGATTATCATCATTAAGTACTCTTAAATATCTTTGCGCTCTGTTCCAATTGATATCTATTATTGCCAGACAGGCACTGACTAACAATTTTAATAAGCGCCCCACATGGCGTTATTCTTGGACTATTTAATAATTTTCCAAAAATTTAAAATTCCCTTAAAAAAAAGTTCAATAATCTAATAATCAAAAAATAAAATTATTAAAATGAGAATTAAATAATATCTTAGGAGTACAAAATGTAGTTTATCACCAAAAAAATAAAAAAAAAAAATACAAGGAGGGAAGTGTAATCCACGCGTTTTAGATATAGGTGGGACTGAACTACTAATAATTATCGAAATCGCCGTGAAATATGCGCATGCATGAAGAAAGATATCCATATACGTTGAAACGCATCTTGATGTATTTTTCTCTCTCTATATCTATATCTTTCGGCTATCGTAAAAACCCTAATAAGAAGGGAAGAGCTTTCCTATTTACATGCAAACTCTCTCTCTCTCTCTCTCTCTCTCTCTCTCTCTCTCCATAATCTCCATCTTCTCTCTCTAAAATCTTTCATTGGAATATATAGAGTTTGTAAACTCTCCTCCTAAAACCTGTGCCCCCGAAAGAGCAACCGACCACAGAGTTATATATACCAAAAAGCTCTCTCTTTTTTCTTAAAAACCCACTTTAAAACCCTAGCTTACCCATCTCTTTTCTCTCTCCACCAACAACAAACAAACCCTTTTGTTTTCTTCCTCTCTCTCTAATCAATTCAATTTGTTTCAGTTACGAATACAATGGAGAACAACAGAGAGGACAGAGAAGAAGATGATCTTGAATGGTTCATCGTCAACAACAATCAGCCGGTCTCTTCTTCCTCTTCATCAACGCCTCTGCCGCCGCCACAAAACCATCAGTTTGATTTTCCGGCGAGTTTTCCGGCGAACTTTGCTTTACAGGAAAACCCTCCTCGCAGAGAATCAGTGCCGGAAAACCACCCTTTTCAGCTTTCTCAGCCTGAATTCAGCCCTTATCATCAGATCAACATGCCGAGAGTAAACCCTAGCTTTCTTGAACTTGATACCATTTATCATCCTAGGACTCTTCTTGAAATCGATTTCAATCGGCTCAATCTATCAACCCCTTCTCGTCACTCCCCGGTCCCTAACGGTCTTTCGCCTGTATCCGATGTGAATTTGCAGAGGCTAAGAGTTGAGTCTGCGGTGAGAGGACAGAATGGTATGTATACCTTTGGAGCTTATCCTGGTGAGGAGAGTTTAGAATCTTTCGGTTTGCACAATTTGAATTCCAATTCTGTATCTGAAAACTATCAGAATCAGTATCAGAATCAGTACAATCAGGAACAAAGCGAAAGGCAAAATCTTGTTCTGGGAACGAATCGATACCTACCAACAACAACAACAACAACCGGTGCTTATACGATTCAAAATGGGTTTCGATCGGATTACAACATGGGTTATGGTAGAGCATCGAGTTCAAATGAAATCGGAGGCTATGGAAGCTATGGAAGTTCAAGTTTTAATGGGATCGGAGGCTATGCAGGCTATTTAGGCTCGAGTTCAATTGGGATCGGAGGTTTAGGAGGATCCAGTTCAAATGGAAATGGGTATAGGGCTGAGGCCAATCCTTATTATGATAGTAATCTTCTTCAACAGTCGAGGCAGCGATTGAACTTGGTGTCGTTGGAGGAATTGAGAGGGAGGATAGTGTTGGCGGCGATGGATCAAAGAGGGTGTAGGTTTTTGCAGAAGAAGTTTGAGGCAAGGAATCCTGAAGAGATTGAGATGATTTTTTCAGAGGTGAAAGATCATGTGAGGGAGTTGATGGTGCATCAGTTTGGCAACTATTTTATTCAGAAGTTTTTTGAGGTTTGCAGCCAAGAACAGATCACCCAAATGCTTCTTTTGGTGGTCAGTGATGAGCGTCAACTCATAAATATTTGTGGTGATATGCATGGGTATATATGTGCCTACCCCTCTTTCTCTCTCTCTCTCTCTCTCTATATATATATATATTTCTTGCTTTTGATTTGAATATGTTTTGTTAAAAATGGCTTAGATAGGGTTGCTTGCTTCTTTTAACACTTTTCTTTTTAAAAAAAATTATTTGATTTGAGGTATAGAGGCACTAGACTTGAAACTAATTGGTATGTGAAATTTTAAGTACAATTTATTTAGAAAAATGAGAACTCTCTCTATGTGAAAAGTTGTGTCTGATTTTGTAAATGAATTTGATGCACTTAAAAAATTGGTTAAAGTGTAAAAATCCTCTAATTGTTTCAAATAAATTTTATAAAAAATGTATTTAAAGGATAAAATGCTTTACATTGGTGGATGAATATGGTTAGTCCTCAATTTTTTTGATTTTGATTTGATGGAACATGGTTTACATGGTGGATGTTTGGCTTCTTTTATCACTTTTTAAAAAATTTGTTTAGTTGGACTAATGTTAAATTTTGAGTGCACTGAATCCATTAGCAAAACCAATTAGTTTGCTAAACATGTTTTTAGAAAAATGACTTTAAATTAATTGCTAAGAGAAATTCTAAGTACAGTGAATTCATCCACAAAACACTATGGATTCAGCGCACATATCAGAATTGGTTTGCTAAACATGTCTTTGAAAAATGAAATGAACTATGCTTTCACTTAGTTTGATAATACAGTTTCAAGGTCCTCTAATTATTTGCAGTTTATAACTTGAGTTATTTTTTAAGTTCAGTTTTAGCTTGTTAGTATTTTAAAAAAAAAAATTGAGTCAACATAGTTTACTTCTTTACTTCTTAGGCCTCTAAAAAATTTGATTTTTTTGGGTGGCTTTTATAAGCTTTTCATAAAATTTGACTTCTCTTTGTTTGCAGTGAACCTTTTTTTTTTGGTGCTTTTCTTTTAATTTTTAGGGTCTAATAAATCTGTGTTGGCTCAGTTTTTAGAATTTTTTTCCTTTTTTTTTTTTTTTGAAAAATTAGAAATTTGTCTGATAAAAATAAACATAAAAAATTATTTTTGTCTCAAAAAGAGAAAATCATTTGAAAATAATGAGTATGTTTAATTTTTTTCAATTTTTCACTCCAGATTAGTTTATGAAATTTTTCAAGAACAAATTTTGAATTCTCAACCAAATATTAAATTTCATCTAATTTTTTATTTATACTAAAAATGAAAAAATAAATAAATAAATAAATAAATAAAAGCTTTTAAAAAAAAGGGTTTATAAGGTGGTGTCAAATGAAGTCTGAATAAATTTTATTAAAAGTGTACAGAAGTTGAAGAGCCTTGTTTGGTTGAACAACAGTTTTTCATTATTATTATTATTATTATTTGTTAATCTGTTCAACCATGTTGCAGCACTCGAGCAATGCAGAAACTGTTAAATTATCTCATAACTGGAGAGCAAAAGTCGATAATTATATCGGTTCTGAGGCGCATCACAGCAACCTTGACCAAGAGTCTGAATGGTCACCATGTCATTCAACATTGCTTGAAATTCTTCTCCAGTGAGGAAATCAAGGTATGTCCTCCAAACACTCCCATAAAAACATGCATTTTTTGCAATGTTGATGAACTTGTTCCATGCTATAAGTATATATATTTTTTTATTTATTTATTTTCTAGTCATTGTTGACACGTGATACATGTGTGAATATTATTGTTTAGTTTTGATTGATTTCTGAAATTTTTTTTTTTTCATCTTTTGCATTTTTTTAGTGAATTTTTTTAATATTTTAAATAAATATTTTATTTTACAGATGCACTTAAAAAATAAAATATTTATGAAAAATATTTCAAAAATTCAATAAATATATAAGAATACGAAAATGTACTGAATTTTTATATTTTTTGTATTTGATGATTTTTTTAAAGATTTTTTCATAAATTTATAATTTTTAAGTGTATCTAAATTAAGTGCATTTAAAAAATTCTTAAAATATTAAAATTTTTTTGTCTAAAAATAAAAAAACTCAATTTTCTAAAGCCAAAATCTTTCAAAGTTTTGAGTAACTAGCCATGCCTCTGTTTCTTCTCCCATCACTTGGTAGTTTTTTGATCGGATGATTGTTCGGTAGTTCAGAATTGCGGTCATATGGGGCTCCATGATAAAATAAAATAAAAAAAAAATAAAAAATTAAGATTTTAAAAATTAAAATTTAGGGACAAAATTATTTTTTAGAAACTAAATATTTTTAGTTACGAAAATTAGACATTAGTGATGAATTATTATTCTTTTGGGTCCAAATTTTTTGTCTCAAAAAATAAATCATTGTAAGACCAAATTATTTTGTCCCTAAAAGTCTATTTATTAGTGACATTTTTTAAATTTTGTCGCTAAAAGGCTTGTTTTTGATTTTTCGAGACTACGTTTTAGCAACTATCCTCATGACGATAGAAATTGATCCCTAAATTTATTTTGTAACAAAATTTTTATTTTTAAAAACCAAAACATTTGGTCTCTAAAACTCTTATATGTTGTAGTACTCTATGTTAGTGTGATTGGTGAAAAAAAATGAAGTATTAATTGTTTTATTGAATGATTGAAAAATATGAATGAACATAATGAATGGTGATTGGTGAGAAAGTATGACCATATACTACTCCGAACCTATTGTATAATTTTCCTATTTGATTAGGCATAAGGGTGGTTTAAGTATGTGAAACATGTTACATAACTAGGTTCATGTGAAATGTGGTGTTGACATTGTATAATAGTATAAGTTATTTAATTTATTTGGTCTTGAATGAAGTGTTATAACTAATCTCCTAATATTTTTCAAATTAGTTACTCTAAGAATGTGTTTGGATTTTAAATATGTGGAGGAAAAAGAAAAAAAAAAGGATTTTTGTGACATCTTACACGTTTTTTTATCTAATTTTTTTCTAACCAAATACATAACATTATCACAAAAATGAATAACTTCATTTTTAAATCACAAATTGTGTACTATCACTTCTTTAATTTTTGAGGCACTTATGCTCTATTTAGTTGATTGGAATGAGTTAGAATGATAATTCCTTGTTCTTTCTTATAGAATGATCATTCCTTTAAAATAATGAAAGATGATTTTATTTGCAGTACATGATCATTATTTTTTTAGTTTAATCAAGTATAAAAATAAATATTTTAATAGAATAATCATTTCATTCTATTTCATTTCAATGAACCAAATACTATTTTAGATTAACGGTGAAAAGTTGATGTTATATGCTCAAGTGCATGCGTTGCTTTTATGACACATATCTATCTCTTTTTGTATGGTTTTGGTTGGTTTGGGAACTTTTACTTTTCGTCAAAAATTAAAAGGTCATCATGAATTGTTCTATCACTTTTTTTATTTTTTTATATATTTTTTTTTAAAAAAAATCAAAAAATTATCAAAATAACCTGTTTCAAAATTATTGAATAATTCAATATAATTCATATCTTTTAATTTTTATGGCAAAAATAAACTTTTAGTAATTCTCACTCTAATAAATTATAGAAATTAAATATATATATATATATATATATTTGTGTTAACAAACTGTTTGTCAGGAACAGTAGACAATTTCGACTTTACCCATATTCCCTAGCTTTATTATTTAGATGGTGTTGGACAACTTAGGCTTCTTTTGAGAAGATAAGTAAGCTTATTGATTTATTTAGGTTACATAATTTTTTTATTTTTTTACATATTTTTTTTATAATAAGTTAGTAAATCAAAAAAAAAAATTACTTTTCAAAATAGATCTTAATATATATATATATATATATATGAGTTCTGAAACCTCAGGGGGGTATCTGTAATTTAACCAAACCTCGAGGGGTGTATATGTAATTTGCCCTTTTTTTTTGCACACTTCTTTCATTAATAGACACTGTTTATATGCAAGGAAACTATAACTAACTAAACTCATGATCCTATAAAGCAGGTCCACTATTTCATGACCCTATCTCCCTACCAGTAATTAATATCTAATAACTAATAAAATTAAATATATGATATTTTTAATAAAATGACATATGTAATAGGGTTAATGTCTTCTTATTTGCATTTGTTCTTTGTTTGCATTTTGTTTTTTTCCACGTATGAATGATAGATGGAGTTGCACAGAATAAAGAGGTTGAACAGTTTGATATATTTTTTTATAAATTAAAATTTGAGGTGTTGATCTAAGCATATTGATATTGTGCAAATTCAAATAAAACACAAGGAGCTCTCCATTACCTTATTTGCTCACTAAAAAATTTAATTGCTTTTTTTTTTTTTTTTTAATGTGTTTGCAGTTTTTTAAGGGAGTGAAAATGATTATTTTAAAAATAGGTAAATTATATAAGTGGTTTTTGTTTTATAATTTATCTCGTGTCAATTTTATTTTTGTAATTTTTATTTTTAATTTTCATATTGTGTTAATTTAATTAAATTGATAACACTTATTTAAACGTTAGGCTGAAATAAAATGCAAAATAATTTATTCACTCCCCTCAAAATGATTGAGAGATTAGCAACCAATTTGAAAAGGAGCTTCTATTTGTGCACCACTCTTTCTCCAATTCACAACATTTGATCCATTTGTATATCAAATACCCAGTCTAGTTGTTGATATTACAATAATTGATTTTTGTTCGATACTTAGTATCTAAATTGAAAATCAAAATGATATGAAGTTAGATATTTTAAGGTGTGCAAATAGAATATTTCAATTTGACACATGAGACAGATTAAAGACACTACATGTATAATTTGTCCTTTATAAATTTTCAATTACACAACTCAAGCATTACCACAAATCCCATTGTTGTCTTTATCAAATCACTTACAATCATTGGATTATGTTAGAATATTAAAGTATGAAAACCTCAAGACATAATGTAATGGCTCTAAGATTTTAAGACATAGTGGATTGAGAAATTTGGGACAAAGAATCCCACCAGTGGATTATATTAGAATCTCAAAGTATAAAAATCTTGAGATATAATTCAATAACTGTGAATATTTTAGGATAGAATGAACAGAGAAATTTGGGACATAGGATCATGTGTCGTCTGCACTAGTTACAGTCTACAACTATGAATTCATGGTTGAAAATGTGGCTATTTAAACATATTATTTGTATATGGAATTCATAGTTCTCACTAGCAGAGCTTTCAACAGTTTCACAAGTGAGAACAGATACTTCTCTTTAGTTGATGTTATTAATACCCCCATTGTGAATCTTTTAAATGTGTTTTTCTTTTCCCACACAGCACCTTTTGACTGTGGTAGCCGATAACTGTCTTGAAATTGCGACTGACAAAAGCGGGTGCTGTGTTCTGCAACAATGTGTGTTACATGCTGAGGGAGAACCCAGGGAGCGTCTCCTGGCTGAAATCACCGGAAATGCCTTGATCCTAGCTGAACATCCTTATGGGTTTGTCTCTCTCTTTCCCCCTTTTTGAATCATCTTGTTGCTAGCAAAAAAATGCTTTGAATTAGAAGTTAGAACTCTTGCCAGGAAAGTAGTCAACATGCTAGACTATTTTTTTCCCCCAGGAAAGTGTTAAAAGTGCTAATTTGGCAACATTGCATCCACCAGGGCACATTGCTGCCACATTGCATTTTGGACACTTTCTTAATGAATTTTTTCTGAGCTTGTATCATTGCCGTGTCAAGTATATTGGTTATGGCTTTGTTTCCACCATATCCTACACAATATTGTGGAGAAGAGTGTTCGGAATGCTATGCTAGTAGCATTGCATTCATTCTAGCACAGTGTTGCCACACTGCGTTCTGGGTTTGTAGCATTACTGTGTGAAGTATATTGATACTTCCTAACTATGGCTTTGTTTCCACCATAGACTAAGGATATCGTGGGGAAGAAAAATTTTACATATCTAAAGAAAATTCAAGTGATCAGAATGCTATGCTGGCAATACTACATAGTGTGTACATTCATTCTGGCACAATGCTGTCACATTGGCGTTTTTTGAACACTTTTCTGTGAAATTTTTCTAAGTCTATAGCATTACTATGAGAAGAATGACGATATTTCTTAACTATTGCTTGTTCCCTATACTATATATCATCATAATTAGAAGGGTTTTTTTTATAAGGCCTCTTATTTTTTGCTTAATTACCATCATCGTGTATGTGTCAATAACTTGAGCGGGACTAGTTTCCTTCCCCAAAACGCCAACCATGAGAGAAGAGACACGTTCTGAAATAATCACAGTTCGAAGGTTTGGTTGTGTTTTTGTTTGCTTCTTTTTTGTTCTTCATTTTCAAAACACCCATTGTTTTCATTTTGGGGGGAATTTTTTTCAAAAATTCAAAAATTACTTTGGTTTTTCCTAAAAATGTACTTCCTAAAAAGCATGTAGTTTTCAGAAGATTTCCTCGAAAATAGTTTTCGAGAATAGTTCACAAAACAACTTTTTGTGTTTTCCAAAAAATATAAATAGAAAACAGAAAACAAAAACACAAACAACCACACCTAGTGTGACTTGAACAATCTTTTTCTTCAATTCTTTAATGAAAGTTTTTTTCTGTTTTCAGAAACTATGTTGTGCAGTATATGCTGGGATTGAGGATACCAGAGGTTACGGCAGGCATATTGGCACAGCTTGTGGGGAGTCATGTCTCTCTCGCCATGAACAAATATGGGAGCAATGTGGTGGAGAAATGTCTGAGAGAGGCTGGAGAAGATCAGGTGTCACGAATTATCAGAGAGATTGTTAGCAGCCAGAATTTCTTGATGGTGCTTCAGGATCCTTATGGCAACTATGTGGCTCAATCTGCTTTGGCGATATCAAAGGTTTGATCATCTCTACACTATGCTTGCCCAGAATTTAGTTATCTGAAACTGGTGCATCATCTAGGATATTTATCCAAGTAAAACCAGTTCAATTATGCTGAATTTGTTTAGCAGCGTTGTAGACATTTGTGGCATTTGGTATGACGGGAAATAAAAGTCAACAGAAAATGTTTTATGAGGTCAACAGAAGAAACTTAATTAGGTGGAAATATTTTTCACTTTGAAAAGGCAAAAAACATTATTCATACTAAAATCTTACCAACGCGACCACACTACCATTGCAGCCACCATCACAACTTCCTCCATCCCACCGCTATCACTCCACCATCTCCACTACCTCCACCACTACCCCAACACCAACACCACTAATACAACCACTAGTACATTAATTTCAAGGTCTCAACCAAACATAAGAATACATTTTCTGGAGGAAAAAAAAATTGTCGAAAATGTTTTCTGCTGAAACAAATGGAGCATTACTGTTCTGAAATTTTCATATGCCTTTAAGATCACTTTCTCAAATTTGGAATATATTGAAGAGATGTGTTATGTTATGTGCACAAAACACCGTTGCCTCTGTTCTGTGCACGTAATTTATGTATATACACGTGTATTGAAACTTCTTACTGTCAATGAAACATTAAACTTTTCTCTATTGCAATTAGGTAGAATATTGAGCAAAATCTTGAAATATTGAAAGTTTCTATGAAGCTCAAAATTGAATTGAGAAAACAAGCATAAAATTTTCATCAAAATATATACAAAATCATGATCTTTGATTTGTTTCTCGACTTTGATTCTGATGGAATATACTTAACTTTATTTTTTTCTTTAATCCTCAACTTTACTAGTTTTCTGCTTCTTGCTCTCTGTTCTGACCCATGGCAAAATGTAGGGAGCTCTTCGCCACACCATGGTTAGCCTCATTCAGATGCATTACCCATTCCTCCATAGCCATCCCCATGGGAAGAGGGTCCTGGCACGTACCCGAGGCAGCAAGCAGCGCATATAAGCGATGTTAAAGGTAATTATTAGATTGTCAGTTCGATTTGATGGAATAACTGTCAACTGTTTCGGCCTTGTTCTAAGGTAGTCAGTTGTGTGTAGTTTAGTTTAGTTTCGAATCACTAGGGGAAATAATTGTGTGTGTGTTGAAAAGTATGATCTGCTCTGATGCAGGCTCCTTCTAGTTTGAAATTGTTTGTTTGTGGAGCAGATTGTAAGAATAATAAGTTAGTGTTTGTTGTGGTCTTCGTGCTGTTGGTTGTTATACATTAATAACTCTTGGATTTTTAGAGTACAATAATAGTAGTTTGATTAGACAGTGTTTGTGAAAGTGATTTTGTTCCCAGTTTCTGCTTTTATGTTTTCTCCATGTTTTGGAAGTGATGTTGTTATACTTTGATAAATTGCTTCCATAGTTTTTTAGTTTTCTGTTGCCTGTGTTTGGTGTGGCTTCTTTTGGAGAGGAAGAAGCACTGGCGGTGATAGTGAATAATTGAAAAGAAAAGGTGTAGCGGTTATAATCTTTGCTACCTGATTCTTGAGGACTATCTGATTTCTCTGTCTATTTCTCAATATGGATTCTGATAAATATTTGAATATTTTTAAAAATGAATAGAACTGAAGTCTAAATGAAATTGGCACTCTTTTGGAACCTTGAAAATAAGTTATTTTGACTGCTACACGGTTTTGAATAGAACTCAATTTCAAAAGTTAGCTATTGACTTGAGTGCGCCTCACGCTTACATATATGCTTAATATTACTTTAGTAACCAGCAATGTGAGATTTTGCTTCACATTGACATTTAGATCGTGCTTGAATTATAGATTTATGGAGAGAAACGAGAAGGAAAGGGGACGTACTTCTCTTTTTCTTTCCTTCAAATATTAATGAGTCAGCTAGTAAATCTACTTTTCAAGTTGTATAATGTATTTGGATCTTACACTTGTAGAGAAAAATTTATTTCACTCTTCCCAAACCCCAAAGTGAGTGAATTGCATGTAGAGATCCACAGGGCTAATAGTTTAATTGGTTAAAAAATAAAGCTCATAATGGTTATGTGTTTAAGCCCTACTAAGCCAAGAACCACCCCTTTCTCAGTCAAAATATTCACCCCCCAGTTGTGAGGGCACCTAAAACTTTTAGCTTTTACAATAGAAAAAGGAAAATCTGCTAACGATATTCTCGTGCATATAAAGAAAATAATAACAGGTGAGAAGTTAGCAATTTCCAGAGGATCTATGGCAATGCAATGGAGTTTCCTAGGAAAAAGGAGGCTCTTGCAGTTTCCATTGGAGAGTCTGCTCAATTGACCATCTGATGTGTATGGTCATATATATTTTCTGTAGTTGGTTCTATATCTGAATCATTATTGTTGCTTTCAGTCTCGTTTCATCTTGTGGGCCGAAGAACAGAAAATAAATAAATAAAGGTGGGGAAAAGAACACACATTTTCTTCCTTCCAATATGGGCCTTCTAAAAAATGTACAATTAGAGAAAGGAGAACAATGGCACACTAGCATAAAATCAATCAAAGCAAAAAATCAAAAAACCAGATGTGTAGCAAAATTCAAATTATGGTTTCGAAGTGAAATCGTGAATCTTACACAATCAATGAGAATTTTGAATAAAAATTAGCATATAATAGTGCCACCTATAACAGCAGGTGAAAAACTCTCTTCAAATTCTCTGAATATAAAGAGGGAAATGCTAGCAAACTCATAGCCACTTTCCCACTAAAAATGCAAAAGACAAGAGGCAATCTACATTACTCAGAATCCAAAGAGTTTGAATTTGTGCTTTGCCAAACACTCCTCATTTTGGCACTAGATTTTGATTGATTTCGAGACGATTCACCCTCAAAAATTATAACTTGAGCTTTCGCCAACCTTTCCTCCAGTTCCTCGGTGCTGAATTCATCTGTCCCACCAAGCTCATCAAATCCCACCTAAAATGCATTAAGTATGATTTTTAATGTCAACAAAGCATCATAATTTGAAAAAAATATATCAATAAGCAAAAATGATTTAGATTCTAGTGATAGTTATCGTATCCTTCCATTCAACATGCCACATAATTGTCCACTTTGGAATTCTTTATAAGGGCAAGGGTTGGAAGTACAACAATCTTGAGCTTCTCAGCCAAGAATGGACTTTTCTCAGCATTGATTTTCACAAAGCGTGTCTCTATGTGCTGCTTTGCCAATATACTCAAGTGTCTGTCCATCACCTGCAATTAAACCCTGACCATCATTGGTTCTCTTATATTTAGAATCTGACTTTACTAGTTACTATCAGATGGCTCATAAACAGTCAACCAATCCCAAGATTCTATATAAAAAACATTAAGAAAACGTGCGAGATTATAAGGAAGTTTCCCAGGCTGCCAAATACTCTACAACTTGTCCATTCAGCTGTGAAAGTGTCTTAACATGTCCAAATTTGATTTGAAAATCACTCTTTTTCCTCTGCTAAAAAATCTATAAATTAATTCTGAGAAGAATGCATTGATAATTCTTCATCGAGAATCTATCAGAAGGGCTTAATGAACTCCAGAAATTTTTCCATGACAGTTTTCATCAAAGAACCTAACCCTGAGCATTGACAACAATCTCTATGAAGAAACAACCCCTCAAGCAGTAAGCATCAAAATCCAACCTATCAAATAAGCAATCCCCCAATACCTTTTTGGTCAAGGCAATGACTTTAAAGGTCAAAATCTATAACTATTTATCTAGTACCACCCCATAAATTCCTCACAGATATACACCTATCCATATTCTCCAACAGCTTTCAAATTGAAGCACAAGATGCTCTATTCCACAAGCCACGCCCATAAGACCCCGAATGTTAGAGACTCCCACACAACCCACAAATTCTTGACCTCCCATAGTTGTCTATGACATACTCAAATTACACTCCATATATTGTCCTTGCGATACTTAAACCCATTAGATATAGTTACACAGAAAAAGACCTTAACAGGTGTATACAAGTACACAAAATACACTTGTCTTACTTTTATGTGATAACCTGAAAAATATGTCTGTATATTGCATTGTTCAAGCAACATGTTGTCCCACTTTTCAGAAAACAAGCAGTGTCGTTTTATTTGGGTTCAAATCAACTATTCATAAACCCTAACTGAAAAATAGAAGATAGACAATTATACCTTGCAAGGCCAGTTCTCACGATAAAAATGGTAGACAACGCGCTCACTAGCTTTGACAATGGAGAAGAACTCCTTTTCTAAGGGGATCTCATAGTACTCACCATAGCCGAGGGCCAACCAATGGCTCCGCTTATCCACCATCTTCTTCATCTGTTGAAGTCTCCGCTCTCTCAGTGCTTCAATATTATCGACGTCAAGGCAATCTAGGGCTGCAATCTCCTCATCGATCTTGTCTTCAACAGCTTTGGCCACCGTCAAGACTTGCTTCTCTATAATCTGCAAATTAGACACTCAACTTGCAATGCAAATAAATGAAACAAACTTATGCACATACATGTACAACTAGAGAGAGAGAGAGAGAGAATCGTGAATTGGGTACAATAGATCTGCATACCTCTTGAACATTTGGAGTCTCCATGGATTAATTGTAGGAGTTATCACTCCTAGCATTTCAAAACTTAAAATAAGGAGCATAAAAGAAAAGGGGGAATAGGTGTTAGAAACATCTTCAACAACACAAGCTATTCTTTCTCCGAAGGAAAATTGTGTTCATACAAAAAAAACTTGAAGTTGATAAGAATAATGTGACAATATCATTATTGTAAATAAATTTATTTTTAATGATATTTTATTTTGAAGTGAAAGGTGCATAATAAGCGATATCGTTATGTATGAAATTTATATATCAACTTTTTTTTTAATTTGTATAGCATTATTCTTCTCCAAATTCTAGCTAAAAAAGTGGTTCCCTATTAGAACATCAAAACCATAACTCTATTCAAACAAACACAATGCCCTTGAATCAATCTTCACCATGTGTATACATAAAGGAAACAGACCCAATTTATATTCCATAAAGCATTGTGGTAAGGGACTACAAACAAACCCACAACAAACTGCAACAGATGGAGGTTAAAGGATAGCAAACATTGAGCCAACACAACGAAATTCCAATATTTTTGCAAACCCAGTGCAACGAACGAAAATCATATTAACAAATTGAAAGTGAAATCAGAGAGACAGAGGGAGAATCATATTAACAAATTGAAAGTGAAATCAGAGAGAGAGAGAGAGAGAGAGGGTGCGTACCAGAAATCACAGAAGGTGGATGATGCCGATGAAAGAGTGGGAGAGGACACTTTTTTTTTTTTTTTTGAATGGGCTGAAAATTGTTAGTGGGCTTGATTTTAGTTTTCTAAATTTAGTTTTTTTAAAGTAGATTTTTCTTCTTTTTTATTTTCTGTTTTCCGTATTATTTTATTTTTAGTGAATATTTTAAAAAAATTAAGTAATTTTTTTATTTTTTTAGATATGTATTACAAAAAATATTTTACTTTTGATCAAAATAGTAAAATATTTATGAAAAAATATTTTTAAAATTTAATAAATACACAAAAATACAAAAAAATATACTGAATTTTTATATTTTTTGATATTTAGTATATTTTTTAAAGATTTTTTTTACAAATCTTATACTTTTTAAATGTATTTATGTTAGGTGTGTCTAAAAATTAAAAAAAAAACTTAAAATATTAAAAAAATCATTGAAAATATTAAAATACGAAAAATAAAAAATTAAAATTTTTGAAAACTGTTTTCTGAAAATCAGAACCAAATAAGTTGATTATTATTACTATTTGTTTAACAATGAAGATATTTTACATCAAAGTCAACTATTAATTTTAATGAAATTTTACAATAATTATAGATAGAATGATATTTTCATTTGATACTGGACAAAGTTACAACTTAGGGTGTTTTGGAAAGATGATAAAAAGTTAACTTTTGACTTGTTATCAAGTTTTTTGGCTTTGTTAAAAAGTGATTTGGAAAGATGATTAAAAACTGCTTTTAGCTTTTTTAGTTAATATTTATTAATGATGTCACATTGTAATAAAATGAACTATCCCACCCAATTTAGAAAATTTACATTTTCACTAATATATAACCTTAAATAATATAAAGGGTATAATTGTAATTTTATATGTAGCTTTTTTAAGAGTAATCCTATTAACACCCCATGAATTATTTTGGTCCACCCATTTCTTTGGACCCTCGCTTATAAATTTTAAAACCCGTAAAATTTCTTTCCCCCTAATTAATATCAAAATTATCCTTAAACAACCACTCATTAAATGCATACCCCCTTACACCTCCAAAAAAACCTCCATTCCAAAAAATCCTAACAAAACCCACTAAGAAGAAAAAAAGAGTCTCATCCTTTTCAAAACCCACGAAAAAGAAGAAAAATACTATCCCAGCCAGTTTAGCCATTGTCACGATTGGTATGCTCTCTCTCTCTCTATCTCTCTCTCTCATTGCTTCTTTAAAAACTGAAACTATTAGACTTGAAAAAATAAAAATTTCTACGAGTATTAAGAATTTTAAACGTTGAAAGTGTTAATAAATTTCCATATTCAAATCTGCATTTCCGAACAAATAATCTATGCTAGGGAATGTATTCACGAATAAATAAGTTATATTCAAACTTGTATTCTCGAACTTGAAAAAATGAAAACTTCTACAGGTGTTAACAATTTTGATTGTTCAATGTGTTAAGAAATTCCCATGTTCAAATGTGCAGTCCCGAACATTACTTATATGTTTATTTCCAAGCAAATAAGTAATGTTCGGGCTTGTATTCTCGAACTTAAAAAAATAAAATTTTCTACAAGTGTTAACAATTTTGACTGCTCAATATGTTAAGAAATTTCCATGTTTTGACCATTCAATGTAGGTAATCAAATGATTGTCACCGTTACTGTCGAAATATTGTTGCCAAAGGATTTTTAAGGTTTTGACAGTGGGTAAGTTTTGAAGGTGAGATTTGAAAAATATGGATGGGTAGTGATCGAGGTGGGTGCTCTCATAAACTCTAATTCATGATGTAGTGGGTGTGCAGGTTTAATTGTGAGATGGAGTGTCTCAAAATTAATGATGTCCTTTGTAGTAATTTTATTTGAGGTTATTATTGTAATAAAAAAAAACTAAAAATTGAGAAATCCAAAATAATTTATAAAGTGCTAATAGTAGCATTCTTTTTTTAGACTTGCCAAATGACTCCATAGCTAAAAAACCATCTAGCTTTTTTAACCCCTAAGTTGCAAACGCAACTTTTAACCCAACTTGTCAAAAGACCACTTACAACACATCATTTAAATTTAAAATTATTTATTTATAATTATAACGTCATTATAAATAATATAACTTCTCTTCATAATTCCTGAAATTCAAATAAAATTTTGTTAATGTAAAATTTTGGGATAATATAATTTAAGTGACATTTTAAAAAAAATATTTACAAATTAATGAAAAACTTTGTTACACTCAAATTCAAACTCATGAAATTTTTCATGAAATTGATATTTATCTTTAAAGTTGCCACTCATTTGTTATTTCCCCCTAAACTTTTCTAATCATTGATTATAAAATAAAAATGAAATGGAGAATATTTCATACCACAGTGATCAAAGTGAAAACAAACCAAGTCACATGGTACGAAAACAGATTTATTGTTATAATTAGAATGTCATATTTTTTATAGAAAAATCACAAGGGAGCTGTTACATATTTAATAGAAATATTTAGAGAAAATCCATTATTATTGAAAATTATTTGATCTGCCTATAAAATAGGGATTTGGGTGGCTGCTGTGCGGAGGCCACAACAGTCACTGTTGTGCAGTTAAATGGGCCCATTTCGAGACCCATTTTGATAATTCGAACCGTTTACATTTTAGAATATATCAAGTAAAACATACATGTAAAAAATCAAGTTAATCGGATATCGTTAACCTTTTTCATCCATGCACATTTGTATTTATTTTAATATTTTAAACCACAATTGTTATTTATTTTTGTAGACATACGTAAACGATATCTGATTAACTTGATTTTTTGCAGGTATATTCTACTTGATGTATTTTAAAATATGAATAGTTCGAATTATTGAAATGAGTCTCAAAATAAATCCATTTGACTGCACAATAGTAACTACTGTGTCCCACACAACAGCGACTCCAAATCCATTAAATAATAGGATGATATTTGTTTCATAATTTCATAATTTTCAAAAAAGACGACTGCGTTTCTAATAAATGCTAGAGATTCAAAGTCTCACAATTTATACACAATAACATAGGTTTCGTTTGGAATGCGAGTTAGTTTTTTAGTTTTTTTAATTATTTTAGTCTGGAGTTAAAAAGTCTCGTTTGTGATAGATTTTTAGATTTTTTTTAACTTTTATGAGAGGAAAAAGTAAAATGATTATAGTTTGAACGTGATATTTTGCCTTATTGATTTTTTAATATATTTTGTCTTTTTATGACTATTTTAGCCTGGTAGTCCCTTCAACTCACATGCCAAACGAAAACATGGTAATATAATTAAATTTTATGATTAAGTTTGTAACAAAATATATATATATATATATATATATATCCTGTTTGGTATCAGAGCCAAGTGATATTGTATCCTGTTTCTAACTGCTTTGCTGCTTCTAGTTCATCTTCTCTATTGTTTATTTGATTAATCTTGTTTTCAGTTCATCTTAATCACCCAAAAGATCAGTTTGTTCTATCCACCTAGTTTAAGTCACCCACTTTTGTCCTTGTCCTGAGTAAGTCCTTAGTGTTAGGCCGTGTTGGACTTAGGGGTTTTCCGAATAGGGTATGTATGTATACTAGGTATGAGGTGAAACTGACAAGAATAGGGTATGTATTAAGATATCTGTAAAACAAATTAATTAAACAGAACAATGAGTCAATTATTTAGAAGTAACTCATCAGTTAGTTCTAGGTCAACCACTTTGCCCTCAATACCTAATCAAGGATTAGTAATTAATGAAGAAGATGTTGAAATACAAAACGATAAAATTGATTTAAATTGGAATATACCAAAATTACCTATTAAGGAAATTTATAAAACTACTTTTCTACAGAATACTTTTCATGTTAATCTGCATGTTAAAACAATTGAACAAATTTATGTTTTAGAAAAACCCAGGGAAACCTGCCAATTATTTGATGTTAATATGATAAAACGGCATTTAAAAAATGGTAACAATTTTATTCATTTAGGATTAATTCAAGTCGGTGTTAAACCATTAACTCAACAAGGTAAAGATGCTTCTATCTTGTTATGTTTACGAGATGCTCGTTTTATTAATTATAATGATAGTTTAATGGGAATGATGGAGACTGGTCTGCATAAAGGTCCAGTACATTTTAATTGTTTTCCTGATTTTACGCTTAGTTTACGTGATCCACATATTTTAAAAGCATTAACTTTGAATATTCAATTAAATGGTTCATTTATTAATATATTAGAAAAAGTTCATAATATTGCTCTAATTTATCGTATTCATTATAAATGTATGAAAACTAATTTAAATGTTCAAGCCTTACATAAAAGTTCAAAAGATAAAACTCTGTTAATCCAAAGTAGTAATAATGAATCACACATCAATGTTCCCCAAATGATTGAATAGATAAATATTACTCTCCCTGATCAATGGCTTACAACTAATGAAAATTATAAACATAATTAACAACAATCTTCTATCCAAGATATTCAACAATATTCAACAATATACTGATGGTTCCGTTTGTATTAAATTTAATCGTAGTCAATCCTCACGACATAGTACGTCTAGTGTCCCTACTGATGTTGAAACTGAAGAAGAAATATTTAATACTCCTTTATTTAGGAAAAACAGTCAAATTTATCTTGGTCAAACTCCTCAAAGAAAATTAAAAGGAATTGATAACTCTACAACTTTCCAAATTAGTAAACCTGTTTATACTACTCCCACACATTTACCAGAAGAAGACATTGCTTCAAATACTTCTCCAACTCAAACTGATTTCGAAGAATTTATACCTCCGGTAAATCCTCAACTAATGACAATCAAAAAAGATTTTATTCCTGATCTAGATACATTACTTATTGACTTTAGATCTAAAGAAAATCGAGCTAAAAGACATGCTTATCGTACTAAATATGATTCTGCTCAATAATCCAGAATAACTATAAAATGGTATAATTTTATGGTACAATATGGTTTTGAATTACCTTTCTTTGACTATATGGATCAATATTACAAAAAGATCAACACAATCACAAAACATAAATGGAAAACTTCTCCTAATACTTCTGTTAGTTCTAATCATCCTCCA